GCAGTCTAACTGCCAAATTTCCGTACTGAAAATTGATAGCACCAAGGTGAGTACAATAAGGTGGTGTTGGGGCAACAGTTAAATTTTTCGCCGTGGAAATCATAACGTCAAAATGATGTGTTTGTTGTAATTCATAAAGTTATTGTGCGTATAATTTGTTGTAATTTTTTACTTATATGCATCGAAGAGTTCCATAAGTAAAGTAACTCTTCTTACCTTTTTTCTTGACAGGCTGTAGGTGTGTTTTTGGTTAGTGTGTTGGTGTTTTTGGTTCAATGAGCTAAGCAAAAGGTACATAATTTTATTTGCTGCGGCGTTACGTTGATCCGTTGGTGCGTTGACGACATTGAAAAATTTGCTGTTACACACCTTGCGTCGTGGCGCTCATTGTTTTCTAAACAAAAAACAGCTGATAAGCATATCCACAAATGTAATTTCAAATGTCAACGCATGAACGCAACATAAAAGTAGTGAGTTGGTTTACTTTTGACAGCAACTACATTGATGCATTCGTAACGGCGTCGTCTGTAACAGCTGGCATATAAAGGCACATGTTCAATATTATTTGACATTAACGGCGTGACGCATTTGCCGGCGAACGCACATACCTTCGCTTTTAGTATCTTTTGAATAAATTGTAATAGAAATGGAAGAAATTATAATAGAAATTAAATAAATTGTAAAATTTAAGAGCAAATGCCAAAAAACAGGTGATCTCAGCTATAGACAATTGTCGGCAATCAGCTGATAATGTTTTTTACTTAGGAAACTGTACGATGCTTATATGTACACGGGTAACACCACCTTGTTAAATACGCTTTGCCTGGCACACTATGCGAACGATAAATAAAAAGTTAAACTTTGACCATTTTTCGAAGTTCGAATTATTTTCGAAGCTATAGTAACATATTAACTTCTTTCGAATAAGAACAAATTATCGCAATCATTGTGGAGGAATACAAGTGAGATATCTTAGGGTTGACAGATAGTTGACAGGGTGTTCAATATGGCGATGACAGTGTGAACAATATGGCAGCCAATATGGCATACAACACCGAATGGCCCGAAGTTGCAAAACTATGACCCGAATGAAA